CCGCAAAATCATCCCCAACCCGTCATGTTGGAAAGTGGAAAGATTTTGCAAGAACAAACGCCAGTGCGAATGGATTTGAGTCATTGTGGATGGTCCGATATCTTTTTCTTGGGAATGGATTTCCCCGAAGGAGCGCGAGTCCTCAATGTGTCCATTGATTTGGCCGTACGAGGACGTCACGATTACGAACCCATGCCACCCATTGACTGCTATTTGCAGGTCATTGATCAACCCGTACTCATATTGACCAGTATCGATTTGAAATGTCAAGTCACACTGACACATATTTCCCAAGTATTTGATTTTTGCAACGATTATCTAGGGCTCTTGCGAGCGGGGATTATTGCGGCTGGCATTGTCCCATTGGGATTGGAACATTCCACTGCCTCCTTGGCCGAATTGTTTGCCACTACGATTGGGCCCAATAAGGGATTGCATTTGACGACACGGGTCAATGACATTCCCAAGGGTTCCCGATTGGCCGTTTCTACCAATTTGTTGGCATCCATTATTGCACTCGGTATGCGAGCGACGGGACAAACCACGTCCATGACGGGATGTCTGACCGAAGAAGAACGACGTCTCGTGGCGGCACGTGCCATATTGGGCGAATGGTTGGGTGGATCCGGTGGTGGATGGCAGGATTCCGGTGGTGTCTGGCCCGGCATCAAATTGATTCAAGGAGTTACGGCACAAGAAGGACATCCCGAACATGGAGTCAGTCGAGGACGATTGTTGCCACAACATCGACAATTGACAATCGAAGAAGCACCGGCGGAATTGGCACAGTCATTACAGGATCACTTAGTATTGGTACATGGTGGAATGGCCATGAATGTGGGACCCATTTTGGAAATGGTCACGGAAAAGTATCTACTGCGAGAAGCCGAGGAATGGACCGCACGCCGCGATGCATTGAATATTTTGGATGAAATATTGCAAGTCTTTAAAGACAATGATATTCCAAAATTGGCACAATTGACCACCCGCAACTTTTTCGAACCGTTGCAGACCATTATTCCGTGGGCATCCAATTTGTACACGGAAACCTTGATTGAACAAACACGGAAACGATTCGGGGAGGACTTTTTGGGATTTTGGATGCTGGGAGGAGCCAGTGGCGGCGGTATGGGATTCATTTTCAAACCCGAGGCTAAACCGAGGGCATTGGTGGAAATGCAGGAAATCATGCTCGCCGCCAAGAGGGAACTGGAGCATGCGTTGCCCTTTGCCATGGACCCGGTCGTGTACGATTTCAAAATCAATGATCACGGTACTAAGGCCAAATGGTGCGAAGCCAAGGAACCACCCACATGGAAAGTCAACGTGGAAGAAACATCCAATGGCGTCAACGGACACAATCAAGGTCTGGATGACCTCTTGCAAGAGCTCGGTTTTGATCTCATTGGACATGAAAAGATCCAAGAGGATTATCGCAGCGGTCTGATTGGACTCAAGCAGAATCGCCTGCCTTTGGAGACCAAGCTGGAGAATGCACCCCCTGAAGATGTCATTTTGACTACGGATGAAAACGTAATTACTCCCGAAATCAAAGAGCTGGGCATGGAGGAACTTCGCAAGGGCACGGTTGCTGTGGTATCGCTTGCTGCAGGAGTCGGATCGCGTTGGACTCAGGGAGCCGGATGTGTCAAGGCCATTAATCCATTCTGCAAGCTGGCGGGTCGTCATCGGAGCTTTTTGGAAATTCATTTGGCTAAGAGCCGACGCATCTCGCGGCTGACAGGAACATCCATCCCCCACGTCATTACGACAAGTTACATGACGCATTCGGCATTGGAAACCTACTTGGATCGTGTCGAGAAGCATGGATATGAAGGACCCATGTACATTTCGCAGGGCAAGACAATGGGGCTTCGACTGGTTCCCACAGGCAGCGACCTCAAGTTCTCGTGGGAGAAACAGCCCAAACTGGACGAGCAGGCGCAAAAGGTCCGAGAAAGTGGTCAAAAGGCGTTGCTGGGTTGGGCTGAATCAACTGGAGAAGCGTCCGACTATCGCGACAATCTGCCTCTTCAGTGTCTTCACCCTGTAGGGCATTTTTATGAAATTCCCAACCTGTTGTTGAATGGGACATTGAAGCAAATGCTTGAAGATCGTCCTCAGTTAAAATATTTGATGCTACACAACATCGATACGGTTGGAGCAGATGTTGATCCTGGCTTGCTGGGTTTGTTTGCGTCCAAGGACACAGCATTAAGTTTCGAGGTGATCCCCCGAAAGATTGAGGACGTCGGAGGCGGCCTTGCCAGCGTCAATGGCAAGACGAGGCTCATTGAAGGCTTGGCCTTGCCACGAGAGGAAGACGAATTCAAGTTCACATACTACAACTCCATGACAACATGGATTGACATTGACAAGTTGCTGAAGGTGCTGGGCTTGGAAAGATCGGACCTCGGGGATGCTACCAAGGTTTCAGAGGCTGTGCATGTGTTCTCTTTTCGTCTTCCCACGTACTCGGCATTGAAGGAAGTCAAGAAGCGGTGGGGCAACGGGCAAGAGGATGTATTTCCAACCGCACAGTTCGAGAAGTTGTGGTCTGACATGTCGTCCCTGGATGAAGTGAAATGCGACTTCTACGTTGTCCCGAGGTATAGAGGAAGCCAGCTGAAGGACGTTTCGCAGCTGGATGGTTGGCTAAGGGATGGCTCCGCTGCTCATTTGGAAACCTTGTGCGACTGGTCATGATCCCTCGACCCTCCGTGCATGCATGGCTAGCTGTGGACTAGTACTAGAGATTAAACACTACTAACATGCACACTTTGATTTATGCTTAGTCGTTCCAGAGGTTTGCTTTATCTCGTTGTTTATGTGTCGCGTCGCGTCGCGTCAGATTGATCATATGAGTGCAGTACTAGTAGTATGCTGGCAACACATGCTCCTGGCTAGCCTTGCCAGATGCGTATACATCTTTCACAAGTTTCCTCCAGAGTCTCCATCTCCTCTTTCTTACTCAGATCCAATCCAAGGTCCCCACGGGCAGGTTCACCGAGAAGATGCAAAGCAAAGGCTCCATAGAATGCGCCCATGTCACATCCCAGTGCCTTTTCCAAGATTGCAGTTTCATTAAGGTTGACACAGCTGCCTTGGCATCTTGGCAGATGTCTTGCCGTGGATTCCACCTTCACCAGAGTTCAACCCAGGTCTTTCAGAGCTTGTGACTCAAGTACCAATGCCTTGTGTTAGGAAAAGCCTTCTGCTGTGATGAGTCCCTTGGCAATTTGAGACCCAAGGCCTTCAGTGCCACCCACAAAGTAAAGTGTGCTCATGGTTGAATGAGTTTTTGGTCTTCCGGTTGTCTCCAAACTATTTTTGAGAGCAACGCAGAGGGCCTTGCTCGTGATGTATTTTGGCTGTCGGGGACTCTGCAAGATTCTCTACAAAATGGGTATCTGGGTAATAATGTTTTCCAATGTTACAGTAAGCATTACGACTATAGCCAACAACAGCAAAGACATGTTTACCCCAAGCACTGAAATCAAGTTTAGTCTGGCCGTCTCCTCGGATCTTCTGACAAAGCATCCGAGCCATTCTTTTGGAGCTCTGTCAACACACCTGCAAAACACAAAACATGGACGGAGATAGGAGGCAAAAAAGAAAGAGGGGGTTTTAGAGGAGGCAAAAATGGAAGCCCCTTCTTCCCCAGAAGCACCATCAGCCAGAGTGTCCGGCACAGCATCGACTGCATCGAACGAGCAGAACTGGTCTATCTACAAGCGAGTTCAAGTGCAATGCAAACAAGCTCCTGCTGAGGAAATTGCCAATATTCCGGGATTTGTGGATTTTGTTGGGAATGATGAGAGGCAGGACGATCGTATCATTCGGCTGAATAAAAAGGACGATAAAAACATGCTTTATCAGGGTCCTCTCTTTGGCTTGACGGACTACCCAGGCTTTGCCATGGCTCCACAAGCCCTATCACCATCGCTTCAAGAACAATTGGCCTTTGAGGCTGTGACGGAATACTGCGAACAGCCGCATGCTACCAACATTGATTTGGTACCTCCCAAGCCATCCGAAAAAGTCAACACACAGGAAGAAAGCATTTGGAGTATATGGAAAGCAGAACAATCATCATCATCACAAAATAATCAGAATCCACCCACCAGAAAACGAAAACAGAATCAATCTGGCACTCCAAAATACTACCGGTCGTTTCGAAAATTATCTTGGGCTACTACGGGATATCACTATGATTGGACGGAACGATCCTATCATGAGGGCAAAAAATCTTCCATGCCCCCATTGTTGCAGGATGTGGCCCTGTTGTTTGCTCGCACATCCTTAGCCCTGACTACTACATGTACTAGTCCTTGCATCCAACAACAATTCACTCCTTCTGCCAGCATTGTGAACTATTACAATACCAAATCCGTCATGGGCGGGCATCGCGATGATCTTGAATATGCCTTGGATAAACCAGTGATATCCATCAGCTTGGGGTTGCCGGCCATTTTTCTATTGGGAGGAAAATCCAAGCAATCCGATGAGCCAGTGATACCCATACTGGTCCGACCGGGGGATGTCATGATGCTGGGAGGGGATGCTCGATTGAATTATCATGGAATGGCACGAGTGTTGCTACCGCAAGACTATGCCATTTATAGAAATGGTAGTGGTAGTGAGAGAAAGGACTTTTCGTCGAGTGGTCAGGTGACGAGGGAACTGTTGAGCAGCAAGCTTTCACAAGGACATGAAAATGGCACAGGAAGGTCCGGTTCGGACCGGGAACACCTGACAGAAGAAGACCGAAAAGCGCTCAAAAGATTCCTTGGGCAACACCGAATCAACATCAATGTGCGACAGGTGAACCGTGATGAAACAACCACCAGCAGTACATAGTTTGATATTGGTTTTATGTTGCGCGGCTGTTGTCCTTCCATCGACTTCTTTCGCAGTCAAATCTAAACTATTGAGAACACCTAGAGATGTTTACAATTGTACATTCTTGTTGCAAAACTGTAGCTATGTCATATTAATTTCTAGCCCTTCAATAGAAGCAGCAATCCCATGGCTGCTTCTTCCGGAACTGCTTGGTCTGATGCCATTTCTTGGTCCTCAACGCCGTTTCCCTCAAGGAGTATGTCTTGAACCATTTCTTCCACGACTTCTTCCACCTTCTGAAACACTTGCTGAGCAGCCATTCCCCCCATTATATCTTCAGTGTTCAGAAATGCCTCTTTCAGGTCCTGGTACGATGGAAACTGATTGTGGCCGTGAGGATGTGGGGAAAGTCGTCCCGATTGGCAAGCGGAGGATGGGAGCTGCGAGTGATAGTTTCCGTTCATCTTTGATGGTGATCTTCGCCTATTATGATTTTTGATTGTGAGATCCAACCGGAATCTACTTTGGATGTGCCAACTCGAGTCAGGTTTGGGTATCCAACATCGTCAACTTCGTCAACATCGGGTTTGTTTGCAACTGTCCAGTGGCAGTTCGAATCATGGGATTGGCCATTCGCTTTGTGTTCATTGTCTTCTCATTGTGCTCTCCCCCGGCGTTGAACAATCCAGATCAAGTGTGCTTCCTGGAAACTGCAAACGGGCACTCAAAACGAAATGTTCGGAGTAGATTTTAAAAAGCGGCAGAAGTGCACTAGGCTAAAAGCTAGTGTAAAGATCTTTCGAGTGTTTTGAGTTTGAGAGAATGAAAGTTATGAGAGAGTGTAGATCTTTGAGTGTTTTGAGTTTGGAGAATGAAGTTAGAAGAGAGATTAACAAGCTATGAAAACTAATCACAAAGAGATCATCATCAAGGATCGTAGATTGGCTTCCGCGCGGGAGACTATAAGTGTGATAGAGTAGTTTTGGTAGTAATCCTACGTCTTCCACGACCTAAAACGGAACGCGTGGAAGGTTTGTCATAGCATGGATCTAGTAGGTGGAATACTCTACGCTGGCTAAATATTATAGCGATGTTTCATCATCAACTAGTATGACTATGCGGTCATATTGAAACCTGTCTCAAATGACTATTCACGAAGGACTCAGTCATGAGTTGAACTCAACCCTATCTGGATATCGAGTCGCGAATAAGGCTAAGAGCGTGTATTGCCCATTCGCCCCCTGCAGAGGTCTCACAGAGAGGACGACATGCGTCGGAAAAGAGAACATTGATTTAAAGTGCGGGGCATCTTCATGAGATTTGGATGTAGACATGTGCATCGCACGATGCAAATCCTACAATGGGATCAGGCCTTGTATGGTGTAATATACCTTATTTCCAAGTTGGGTAGACTTGCCGCTACATAGGTCGGTAGCATGATCGGAGCCAGTACAGTACGCAGTTGTCATTGACTCGAGTCTATAGTGTTAAGGACCTTTGTACTTTATTGGCTGACCGTACTTCAGGTGCTGATTTGTTTGCTTCATCATGGTTATCGTTGTTGTTTGATGAGGGGCGTCGTTTTTCCCTGTGTTGTTTGTTGGTTAGTCGTTGAGCGAGTTTTTAATGTATTCCGTTGGCTTCGCAAGGCGTGTGAATGGTGGTTGACGCGAGCTGTCGGGCGTTGCACGCAGGTGGTATGATCGTGGGCTTCATTGCAAAAGCGAACCCGTGAGGCACCATCTCAGGAATCATTCACGGCGGTCGTCTTGGATTGTGTTCTTGCAACAGCGATCATTAGTCTACTTGGTTTGATGAGCACGCCTTCGATCCACTAGAGTTGGCTTGGGGGTTACGCGTAGTAATGAACTTACGACGAAGTCCACATTCATACCGGAGTGCTTTTCGACCTCTGGGCTGACTCTGCGTCCTTATCCTTGATAACCTCGCAGGCATGGATTACGAGTAGCCTACGTCTGTTTTAGAATGATTGTTACTTCGTCTGCTGCCTTGGAGGCAGATCTCTGCATCTCGAACCATCCGGTAACGGGATCAATCATTGTCAAACAATGAAGTGTGCAGAATTTTTTTTCTTGGGTTCCCCTACGTTGTAAGGGCCTATCCGTTCAATACATAGTCTTTCCGAAGGGATCTCCTCGCAAGTCTTTGGAGGCATCAATCTCAGCTTACGCGTCTTGGGTTTGTTCAACTGGCAGCTCTGGCAACGATGACATACGGACTGCACAATCTTGCCCTTTCCAGGTGTAGTATTTGCTGATGGTTAGTTCTGTGCGAGTCTCGCCGGGATGCATCAGCACAACATGGTACCATTCGACTATCTTTTTCTGCATAGTTTTGGGTTCGACGATTTTATCGTCCTTAATTACTAAGTCGTTAGACTTATCCCCTCTTGGTAAAGATTGCTTCTTGTATAGGTCGATATATAGAGATCTGTCCTGGAGGAGCTTCTTGATTATGTTGTGTATTTTGGACACATGTCGATCTCGGGAACTGAGGGGGAATCGGCTAGGGGAAGTCCTCTCGGTGGTGAGCGCATAGAGGCAATTCTGCAGTTGCGCTGGCGTTCATTCTATTGTCTGTGATCGTCGTTGTTGTGCATGGATGTGTTCAAGTCTCGACAGCGCGTATTATCCTCGGTCTTTTTCAGCGACGATGTTCTGTTCGCCCTTTTTGTACCGTAGTTCAGGGCGTATTCTTCCAGATAAGGCGCCATCGCATTACGCGATCGGTAATGAACTTCCGCTCTCATTATGTCTCGTGCTAACGGATTCTTTGTGGTTCGTATTGTAAACGATCTTTTGAGTCTAGAAGATGGTTACGGAACTCTTTTAGAATTTCTACGGGCTACTGCAAGGAGTTCTCTTATCTCGGAGCTCTGCCATGGTAGCGTGTTTGAGCGGGATTGAGTTTCCTGATGTAGAACGCGATAGTTTTTCCTTTCTGGGAAATTACAGCACCTAGTTGAGTATCACTCGCATCCGTTTGGATCACGAATGTATCGTTGAAGTCGGGTTAAGCGAGCAAGGTTTCTTTTGCTTTGTTCGAGAATTTCTCTCATGTGTGCTAAGGCCTTGTGTCGTTGTTGCTTCTTTCCTCTTCGTTGTTTTGTAAGTCAACTAAGCGAGTGGGGCAAGTACATGTGATCGTCTAATCCACATGTCTCAATAGTTTCGTGCGCAATGAATCTCGCGCAGTTATCTCTTTCTTTGGTAGTGATCATTTGCTGCGCTCGCGCTCTCATATTCTTGGTTTTTAGGTTACGCGCTCTATCTCATAGAAGTAATCATTAGCTAGGTATTCAAGTTCTCCTTTTGCGAAGAAGAGAGATCTGTGGCTCACTGATTCTTAGGTAGATTTCTCGAAGCTTCGGAGAATATACACTCTCCGCTGTGATACTGATATAGGATCGCGTGTTGAGTGTGTAGAGTATGGTGGTGTTCTTGTGTTGTGCAGGGTGTGACTGTTTCTAGGTGTGCATTAGTGTTTCCCATTTATTTTTTTTTTTCCCCTTTTTTTTCTTGGGGGGAGAAAAGGATGGGTCTTTGTGGTGGGGGGGGGACTAAAACATAGGCCCATTGGCAACTTCTGGTACTCGTACTTTCCACACGGGAGTACGATGGTACAGAGTTGCTTCGAGTTGGTGACAGCTCGATGTGATAGTATCCCATGTTCAGGTCTAGACTAGTAGCTATTGGAATCCATCTAAATTAAGAGATGTCCTGTATTATTGGGATAGATAAGGCTTCGCTTAATACTTTTGTTCAGTTTCCGGAAATCAGAGATAATACGTACAGATCCATCTTTCTTGGGAATGATAGAAAGTTGTGCCGCCCATCGGAACGGTTTACTTCTTGAGTATCCCCTGCCTCAGGCAAGAGACGTTCCAGCCTCCATTTTAAGAGTGTTGGTAATGGACGCCGTGGAATAGGATTAGCCCTGGCATGATAGCGTTTAGCATCATGGGAGAAGTTCTACTTCGTAGTCGTCCATCTGCACTTTCCTAAAGTACCATCGAATAGGTCAGGGTACTTCGTCAGTAAAGAATGAAGCTGTTCCTTGCTCTTCCGTGTTTAACTGATCTTAATTTTGGCAAACCTGCCTTAATACAGCTTGTTCGTATTTCGCATCAGAATCTTCTTGAGACGATCTGCACTGTCTAACAGCAGTAGGAATCAGGAATGAAGAAGTTCTCTTGTTACAATGGTGTCAACGCTAGATCTTTCACTAGGAAATAGATGGCGCCGTACCCATGTCCATTTTGGACATTGGTTGGTGCAACATCGAACTGTAATCCTAGGCTCAGAGAGAATGTCTTCGACCTATTGCAATCATTCATACACCCCGCCCCAAGCATTCTATGCGTACCGTGTAAAATCCCACTCGATGAAGTCCAAACTTGTTGTAGAGTATTTCAGGAATTCATAAATGGATCCTTGTGCAACTTTTGCTTGTGTTTAATCTCATCCTTGAGCATGGGGTATGTCCACGGATCGTTTGAGACGCCCCCAAGAGTCCTTCTTCTTAATTCTTAGCATAGTTGAGCAATCAAGTTCCGGATGCTCCTGATCCATGAAGCAACGGAATGTAACGGGTTTGGTTTCCATTTTTCTCGTCTGTTAAATCTAACATAGACGATCGGGTTGTAGGTCTCTTGTTTGGACGTTTACGAGGTGGTTGGCCACGGACGGGTTAACATGCTAAATAGAGTCAGAGTCTAGTGAGCAGCTTCTAGGCAATCATCTAATTGCCGAGTTTTCATAGTTGCAACAATTCTTGTTTACTAATTAGTGAGATATCTTATCACTTAGGTATGGAGAAATCGCGGAACATGGTTCCGTTGAAGTATCATCCTGGCTAATCCTCAGTATAGAGATTTCTCCATCCAAGTGATTTAAATTGATAGAGGAGTTGTCCTCATTTTCAGAGTCTTCTGATTTGCGTTGCAACATGGTTGCGAAGTTTGCAAGTGGTTGCAGAGGATCGTCGATCTCGTTTTCTTGTCATTGTCGACGAGAGGAAGAATGGGTTTGTCACGCAAATGTTTCTCGAAGTTGCGGAACGCATGCTTCCTTGAGCCATCTTCATGGTGAAGGAATAGGTTGAGGGTAGCTGAAAGTATATTGTGTTTGTTAACAAATGAATACGCTAAAAGCTAGTGTAAAGATCTTTCGAGTGTTTTGAGTTTGAGAGAATTGAAGTTATGGAGAGATTAGGAAGCTATGAAAACGTAATCACGAGAGAGATAATCATTAGGGATCGTAGATCTGGTTTCCCGCGGGAGACTATAAGTGTGATAGAGTAGGTTGCGTAGTAATCCATAGTCTCTCCGATCCTAAAACGGAACGCGTGGAAGGTTTGTCTAGCCCTGGATCTAGTAGCGTGGAAGTACTCCACGCTGGCTAAATATCTAGAGCGATGTTTATCATCAACCTAGTATGACTAGCGCGGTCATTGAGAACTCTCTAAATGATATTCACGAGAGACTCAGTTCCGTGTATTGCAGAAGGCAGTGATATGTTTGGCTAAAGACACTGT